ACCTGTGGCCATGTTTTATTTGCAGTATTCATTAAATCATTTAAAAATGAACTGACACAATTTGTAAAATTTTATGTCCTGGTTATCAAAAAACCTGTTGCCTTTCTGCGTTCACAGTACAGTGAATTCCTTTTCTTCTTTATTTTTTCTGTTTGTAATAAAACAACCTTACATCAATACCAGCGCGTAAAGCCTGTTTTAATACTTCACACAAATACAATCAGGAAACAGAGATAAAAATAGGCTACAACAAACAAAAAAATAAAAAAAACTTTTCAAAATCAATTGTGACTGACAATTTCTCGTAAAGTGATCCAAGGGGCCCAATTATTGATACAAGAATTGTAATTAAATGTCCCCTCTAATTAAAAAACAACTTCAAATTATAGACCACCTTTCTGCAGTCCCAAATGAATGCCTATCTTTTATATTTATATATTTTAAATTAAAGACCAAAGCTACTATACTGAAGACAAGGAAAACACAAGTCCCAATTGTGATCTTGGAGGGAGACCTGTTATCGGTTATTGGATATCAAATATTTATATTAAAAAATATTATGTAATTTGACTCCAGTAAAACAACTCAAATGAACACTAACCTGTGTAGAAACCTTTACAAAGGACACAATTATCACTTCCTTATCTCTTCCTTGATACTTGTCTATAGTGTTTACCTCCAATTTTGAAGTGTCTATTGCTAGGCCAGCTAGCATAGACTTTATTAATAAACATTGGTTCCTGTATGGGGACACAACACCTATCCCTGAGCCCTTGCAACCACACTAAAACAAAGTAATAAATGTTAATTTAATGTAGAGTTAGGTTTAATCAAATTCAGAAACCAAATTACAAAAACAAGAAAACAAAAGAAGGGAGATTCATACATTTGCACAAGGGTGTATTTAAGGGATGGGAAACAAAAAAATAAAATCTATTCCCATGAAGCCCTTACTGCATAACTAAAGATAAAAACTATCTCTTTTAAAATACTACTCTGCCTCTTCTATCTCTGTGGTTAAAATTTACTCTGCTGCCCTCAATGTGCATTTTTAATAGCACGTAGTAATACCATAAAACATTGCTCTGTAAGATTTACCTTGTGTAGGGCATCTACCAGTTTGATTATGACATTTGCTTCATTTTGATTGGTGCTACCTGAACTTTGACCCTCCTTCATAACCTAAGTAGCAAAACATTTAATTTTTTTTTACTTGTTTACTTTAAAAAGCAATCGCTACAGTGTTTTCACTTTCGCTACAGTGTTTTCACTTTCGCTGCAGTGTTTTCACTTTCACTGCAGTGTTTTCACTTTCGCTACAGTGTTTTCACTTTTACTAGTGTTTTCACTTTTACTAGTGTTTTCACTTTCGCTGCAGTGTGTTCACTTTCGCTGCAGTGTGTTCACTTTCGCTGCAGTGTTTTCACTTTCGCTGCAGTGTTTTCACTTTCGCTGCAGTGTTTTCACTTTCGCTGCAGTGTTTTCACTTTCGCTGCAGTGTGTTCACTTTCGCTGCAGTGTGTTCACTTTCGCTGCAGTGTTTTCACTTTCGCTGCAGTGTTTTCACTTTCGCTACAGTGTTTTCACTTTCGCTGCAGTGTTTTTAATTTTGCTACAGTGTTTTCACTTTCGCTACAGTGTTTTCACTTTCGCTACAGTGTTTTCACTTTTGCTGCAGTGTTTTCACTTTCACTACAGTGTTTTCACTTTCGCTACAGTGTTTTCACTTTCGCTACAGTGTTTTCACTTTCGCTGCAGTGTTTTTAGTGCAATCGTTGTACTGCGTAGCAGTCCCTGACGCAATCGAGAACGCTCCCCCGATTCGAACGAGCAATCAGCATCACTGAGAGCTGTCGGCGATAGCGTGTATGGAAACCAAGCTTTTGTAAATAGGTTAACAAAACCATATGTAAACTAGGACAGAGTATTCTTACATCATCCATGTTCAAGAACTGGACAGTAGATTTTGGGTCAACCAACTTTAGCAGCCATTTTGGTTGGGAACTTCTAAGATGCACCTGATGAAAAAATACAAATAATATATGTATTTCAGTATGTAATGGGAATAATAGCACTTTCAGTGACATAGGATTTATTTCAATCAAGCTTAAAGTCATAGACTTCTGTTTCTAATACAAGATGGCTAACAAAATTCTATCACTATATTTTCCTAATTTAAAATATTTAGAAACTTAAATTCATACATTTCTGTATTCATCCCACTTGGTTAAAACAAGCTGAGACCTTGCAATTTCATCTGATCCGCACTGAAGTGCGCCCTCATACACCAGTATGTTGCTCAGCTTCATGATGTCAAAGTTCATTCTATATTGCAGCGTTAAGGATACCGTGGCGTCGGGCTGAGTTGTAGCTAAATGTTTGAACAAACTTGTGTCCATTCCTAGAAGTCTGTATATGAGATAAGTTTATTTTAATTTTAAACAATCATAATTATGACAACATGTGAGTACATCAAAGTGAAATCAATTCTTGTATGATATATCTACAGTACTAATAATCATATAATCCTTTTAGGAATGAATATAGTGCTTTTTTGTTTAATCATGCAAAAACCTATTCTAAATTTATTGAGCATTCTGTCATGTTCAAACCAAATAAGCACATAAGCCAAAATATAATCTCTATTTACAGTGAGGCTCTTAAAAAATTATGTCCAAATGCGACATATAGCATTTATTGCACTTACTGGCTCTATGCACTTCATATCAACAACATGTCAACAAGAGGGAAATAAACCCAGATTTGTCTCTCATGATTCACATTTTGAGCAACACTAATATTGTAGGCTTGCTAAAAAACGAGGTAAAATAATATTTTATAACTTTTTATTGGATAACCAAAAAAAAAAACATTAACTCAGGGATTAAGTAATCTCTTGAAATCTATTATAAAAATTAAATCATTTTCTATTAATAAATTTGAGGCTTACCACCCCAAACCAGCAATACGGTCGCTAATTGTTAAACTGAGTAAATAGCATGAGAATATGACAGTATGATATACTGTGGAACAAAGGAGTCATAATACTTTTACAGTAAATTGATGCCAGTAAATGTCCCATCATTTTAAAGCTTATAATGTGGAGAATATAAATTATATTAAAAGGCAATTTTCATGTTTTTGTCACTGATGTTAGTTTTGGCATGTAAGCTCCATTTACCAATAAAAAAGTGACATACTTTGCATGTTTACTCTGAACAAGTGGTGGAAGCTGATGGTGGTCACCAACCAATACAAAGCAGGCAGCATGTAGCAAGGGTCCAAGGCACACGGGCTGGCTAATCTGTGATGCCTCATCCACAATGCACACATCAAACTTTCGCTTGGAGAAAATAGCATGTTTCGACCCTAAGCATGTGGTAGCCACAACAGGCTGGAAAAAAAAAAATGATATTCTCAAATATGGATTGGAGTTTAGGATTGGTAGTCGTTCAGTTAGGATACTTTTTAGTGTGAAACATAGAAAAGATAACCAGGAGTCAAGAGACTAAAGAGTTTCCAGTGGGGTCCATTTATTATTATTGTTTTTAAGGACACACACATCCAGAAAACGGCTCAATGCACTTTTTTTCCCTGGTCATTGGATACAGAAACAATCACACATGACGTGCATTGACCTCCGCTCCCTGGGGAGTATTCCTGGTTATGCGTGTAATCAGCACTACTAATTCACCTCCTACCAGGTGCCCATTTAAAATCCTGGGTGTAGATTTATTAGTGAGCTGTAAATAGTTTAATGTATTCCTTAACGTGCACATGGGCTTTTGAGGCCAACAGATTAAACGCCTCATCTTAAAGAGCATGTACTTATCATAACTTGTACTTCAGGATTCTAAGTGAAACTCAGAGAGAGCAGGATCCTGAGGTCTGAAAGGATCTCCATGGTTTAGAGTACATATTGTACAGTGGCTACCACCTTTTAAGAGAACCCTGAAATCAGAATTCTAGCCACTATAGGTAGCAGTTCTCAGCTATAAGGAAGCATTTTTGGCAGTATGTAGTTTATTGGGGTTGCAAACACACCATGACCTGCTCACCTCAGCTCCAACATGATGGACTAAAGTGGGTCGGAGCCCCTGTCAGGGGCCTTTGATCTCTCATCGGATAGTCTGTGGTGTGGTCACTGCCCTGGGATTGGAATACAAGACACTGCTACAGCTCTAGCATTATCTCAATTAAAATATAAATATAACAATTAAACCTACCACTGTATTGTAAATATGTGTGAGGTTCGCAATATTCTTAGCCTGCACTGCAACAGTTTCCTCCGAGAAGCATCTTATGTCAGGGTGGATGCTGAGAGACCGACCCAAACGAATGAACTTTACATCATGCTTACACAGTTTCAACAGGATATTGTCAATTGCAGAATGGGTATAGCTTGTTAACAACACTGATAGCCCATAATGCATCAATATTCTTACTAATGCTACAATGGTGGTGGTTTTACCTATAAAGAAATATATGAAAAAAATATAACGGCTAAAGTATTATTTTAAGAATGTTGGGGCAAACCTCAGGTGTATCCTAGTTAAAATAAGAAATAAATCACTATAAGTAAATAATTACCTAAATAAGTAATTAAATTATCACTTACCTGTACCGGGCATACCAACAACAAGAGTGTAGTCTTCACTCCTCAACACCTTGTCAATCACACACCTTTGGTCTTGGTTTAAAGCGTCTATGATTTTATTTACTAGAGGAAAAGTGTGCATATACTGTAGTATGGTGCCATTATTCTATGTTGTTCAATCAATTAGCTACACTAGCTGTTGTGTGCCATAACAGTACACTACCATAACCATAACCTATTAATGAGGGACAACAGAGGCTACACTGGTATCCCAGAATTGAACCAACAAAAGCAACACTAGGTGTTGTGTCTCACAAGTACACTACTTATGAATGTGGTCCAAAGGTGCTTGATTTGTTATAAATGCATTTTGTCTTGGTTCAGTACTACTTAAATTATGTACTGTGTTAATCTATGGTCTAGATTTGTCTCATGTGGTATCCCATTCTTTTATGAATATGTTAACAAAATTCAGTTATGTTTTTATGAACTGACTATATATAAAAAAAGTCTAATAATTTGCACTGTTTATTCTCCTATTAACCTATTACATTAAGATGTTTATTAATGATCCAAACTCCCTTCAAATATGTTATTTTTTTAAATTTATGCACTGAATTCTTTAAATCGTGATTGAAAAATTTGAGCTAGAAATAGTCTGGTTGACAAAATTTGCTTAGTTGATAATAAACTTATCGTTTATTTCTGACTTTAATTTGTAGCAGTTACATTTTTTGAATCATATATGTTTTGTAAATTGATATGGAAAGTGTCTGAAATAAAAAGAATTGATTGATTGAATTATAATTAAAACTATACAACTATAAGTTTTTTTTTACCTTGTTTTTGAGCAGTGACTGGCAGACTGATTGTATTTTCTTTAAAGATTGGCTGCTCCCTGTTCAATACAAGCTGACGTAAATGAAAACTGAAATAAACAATTTAAAAAAATGTACTTTACTAAACAATTCATGCTTGTTGATTGATGGCTTCGTATACAAAAATTAAAAAAAAAAACTTGATGCTTAAATATTAGAGCTGGATAAGATAAAAAGCATTACCTAAATGCATCATTCCTCATAAAGTTTGCAAGATTAACCAAACTAGATGCCATACTGTTGTAACTATCATCCTTGTCAAGGCGATATACAGCACTTGTGTCGCTCATCTTCATTGCTCTGCAAAAAATAGTGTCTAATTCAGTCAGCATCCCTTCATCACACATCATTTTGTTTTCACTAGTGACATGTTCACACAAAAACTGGTCAAGTTGAGAAAATACATATACAATTGAATTTACAGTACTTCTTACAGCTTCCTGGGTTACTATTTCATTGTTCAGGATGTTTTAGGATAGACTACTATTTCAGAATATGGGTTACTACAATGTCATATTGGGTCACTATTATTATAAAGAAAATTATCACTGGAAATTAATAACCCACCCATGCTTCCTGTGTAGGCAATCAACACATATAAAAATAAAAGTTAAAAATTGTTTATTTTTTGTTTTACAAAAACTCATGTTACTGAGCCACTGTAGTTATCCTCTTTAAACAACATTGCCATCGTGATCTTTAATAAGATCATGATGAAAACGCTGAGTTAATATTAGAGTAGTGGGTTATTCTAATAGGCCGAATATTACTACAGCCTGTCACAAATAGTGTACTGGTTTTTGAATTTTGAGTTTACAGTAGCTTTTGGCATATATAAACAACTGTAATTGAACCTCTATGATGATGTCGCCATCATATTTAATATTGATTTATGCATAAAGTTTCTTTGAAAAATGCCAACTGCTACATGGTGAAAAAAGAAATAACAGGCTGTATACAGACCTGTCACTTGCTATGACAACTTTATCACAGGTAACCTCTACCATGAATCCAACACATATTGCTACTTCTTTTGTCTTCTCCTTAGTTACCGCTAACCTCTGACCCACAGCCATTTGCACACTAGATAGGGGTATATTGCTGAAAATATAAACACATCTCATGGATTAACACCAGCCATAAAAAAATTATGTTATAAATTCATCTGCTTTAATGTTTTACCCTCTCCCACAATTTAAAATCTGCCCAATGAATGTTCATGTTCCCCTAAGTTTGCAAGTAGATACATATTTTGGATTTACTGAATATCTAAATAAACATGAAGAAGGAAATTAATGAGGAGGGATTGGAACCATGATTGATAAAATCACATTTACATTTCACATTGATATTAAAATGTTTACAAAATACAATTAAGTCTCTTATGTGATTCACTATCTATTTAAAATATTAGATGACAAGATAGCAATTGCATCTATAACCATCAGAAAATTATATTTTCAGATGATGAGTTTACCTGTGGTGAAGTGGTTTTCTTTTAAAAGTCAGCAAATATTGACCAGAACGGTCACCAGGCCTGCAATTGGTCAGTAGCATTCCACTGTAACATTGATCTCGCTTCTCTCTAAAACAAATTGAAACATTAAAAATCTCTATGAGACATAGTAGTACACCCGGTAGTAGTACACCCGGTAGTAGTACACCCGGTAGTAGTACACCCAGTAGTAGTACACCCGGTAGTAGTACACCCAGTTTTTCTTTGAAGTAAAAATTAATGAATATAAATAATAAATAAATAAATATAATATAATAAATATATGCTGGTCTTCATGGGGAGAGTTCTTGTGGCTTTGTATGCCCAAAAATTGTGAGTTTAGACCAAAATATCTGTTTTTGACAATCAAAATAACCTTATAGGCAAATTCATATTTTTGTTCCGACGACCTTGTGGTGTCAGACTGTCAACAGGGGAACTGTCCATGATTCCCCGCTGGCACCACTGCTGCAAATCCACACTTCACAGCAGAGACATTCGTAGGTAATGTGCCTTGCCCAAAGACACAGCTGAGATTCGCATCAAAAGTTTAGGCCTCCGACCTCAGGGTTGGTTCACTGCACGTACTGTATCACTCCCGCAATATTACACCATCGTGGCATTCAATGATGTTGCACCTAGTAATCAGCGCATTGGAATGATCAACTACCAGTTACATACTTGAACAAAATAATTTACTATAGATGAAAAAAATTATCATTAATTTCTTTCTTAAAATAATTAGATAAAATATCCTAGTATTAAATGTTACCGTGTCCAAGCATCTACCATCCACATCTCACTATTAATTTTTCTTTCCTCTGCTGCAGTATGTTCTAGCATACACATGAGAAACCAATCTCTAAAGTACTGTAGTTCGTAGTCTTTTAAATGTTCAAGTTGCGCTTGGTAGTGACTGGCAATGTTTTCATTTAAAGTTATTGGATTTTGCTCCAGTCTGAAACAGGGAGGACAAAACATTTTAAACCCACAATCATAATTATAATGAATGAATATAGACAATCTGTTTTTCATATCTATTACTATTATAGTATTATTAACATCATTATCATAATCTTCATCATTGCTATCATCATCATCATAACTGGTCATCATAATAATTTTTACCATCATCGTCATTAAAAATATCATCCTCATCATCGTTATTATTTTCATTAGTCATCATTTTCATCATCACCATCATAACTATTAGTGCACTGTAGCTTATTATTTAACATGATCATATTCCAATCCTAGATTCCTGCAATCAAATCAAAACCATATTTTTTTCGTACGACTAAAAAAATTTCACACTCCAAGCCTCATCATAAATTTTGTTCAATTATATTATTACTTCCAATTATAACCATTATCAACATTAGTGATTAAATAAATTTGTCATAATAAGCTTAATATTAATTTCATAATTTATATAAAATACAGGTCTCCCTCTAATTAAAGACCCCTCCAATTAAAGACCACTTTTCTCTGGTCTCAAATTAACAAATGTCTTTTATCTTTATTAATCTAATTAGAGACCAACGCTGCTAAACACCATGGAAACCCCAGTCACAAAAGTGGTCTTAAACTGGAGTGAGACCTGTATTATAGTTTTTGTTTTAGTATTTATACATACCTAACTTTAAATTAAAAATGATACAGTTTTGTTGAAGTGAATACAGTTAATTAGTACATAAATATAAACACAGTATGCCGATGGATGATTTAGAAAGTGTGTAACTAATAAATGTGGTTTGATTCATCCATTCATGGATTTTATATTTACCTGTGTAGAAGAGCACAGTGATGGAGCTCAGAGCACCTGGTGCAGGTGAAGGTTTCTTGGATTGGTTCTGGTAGACCAGGTAACTGCCAGTCTTCCTCATTGTCACCTTTGCTTGGTGCTTGTGAGATGTAGTAAGCTAACTGGTTCCGAAGATTAATCAATTCTAGAGAGGGAGATAAGATTCACTGGTTATATTTAAAAACAGTTTCAATACAATATACTAATTTTTCGACCTTTTACAGGAATTAATTCCATGAAATGGCAAATGGAGTGGCGGAGCAGTAAGGCAGGGGTGACGCTAACTACAGCCTTAAAATTGGCACTGGTTGGAAATGCTTCTCGCTCAGGCTTTCATTGGCAGAACAAGTATAGTGTACACGTCTAGGTTGTGTGCAACACATTATTGCATCTTTCGGATGAGCAGGAGGCTACCCTGATGCAACAATCCATTTCAAACCTTGTCGTGGAATGATGTGAACATGTAACTACTATAAGTGCCTCTACGGAGCCTGACTAGGTATACATGGACCACGTCCATAAGCCAATCAGTACAATTAAGCTGTTAATTATGAGTTATTGTCCTACCTTTACCTATATAGATTTCAAATGGAGAAGGTCCATATCGGGTAGAATGTTTACTGAAGTATCACAATATTATCAATAAAGTCAAAATGTCAAATTTCAATGTGGGGAGTGAAGCATGAGTTGTTTTTCTGAAAGGATTACATTATAATACAATGATAAAAATAATGAAATAACCACTTTAGAACAAAACATTACATTATGTTTAGCATGGAAGGGAAATCAAGGTTTTGAAACATTGGCATAAATTTTGAAAAAAATATAATTAAAAACCTGTAAATATATGAAAAGAGAAAATAAAGTCAACAATCAGTTATCTCTTGAGAATTTGTTGAAATCTAGAAGACCTTTACTGTAATCCGATTCCAAGAATCCAGGAGTGTGTGATAGTTCCAGTGTCAATGTCCACGCTGTTAGGAGACTTGGATGCCTAAGAGTTGGATCTTACCTCGCTTATCCATGTGCGCTGCCGGAACTGAAATCATGGAACCAGTTTTGAGGTACAGAAGAAATCCAAGTTCACTACTTGAACCCAATTCACTCAAAAGAAAGCTGTATAGCAATAACTACAGAGAGTAAAAATATAAAACCATAAGACAGGTTTAGAGTGGAAGTCTGTATTGGTTTAGTTTAAAACAAGGATCTGTGGGGGCGGTCACGCAGTGATTGCATCTCAGTCCGTCAAACTTGAGGGCAGAGGTTGGAACCTTCACTTGGAATTTCATTAGTGCACTCTACCTATGTTTGTCTCTTCTAAATGGTTATGACTGATGTGGCTTTGAATGATTAGTGTGTGTGTACATTAAATTGCAAGCACAACTGGAGTGCCGGTTTGCCAAATTACGGATCCGAACTGAATAATAATAAAACACAGCAAGCAGTTTGCATCCATTGGCAAAATGTGCGTTATAAGTCCCTACAATATTAATATTATTATTAAAATAAATCATTTAAAGCTATTTATTTTTTAAAGAGTCACAACTATTGAGTATAATTACAACTTACTTGAGTCCTGTGCTCAATGGAATTTGTTTCCCTTCCCGTCTTCAACTCAAGAGGGAGTGTAAGTGTTTGTTGTCTTGGTTGAGATTTCTCACGGTGAATCTATATAATGAAGTATTGAGTCCAAGTATTTGCCATATTTATAATCATTTGAGAACATCTATCCATTATTTCATGACCATCTGTGGCAGTCCAGTATGAATAATTAATCATTTTGAATGTAAAACTATATAAAAAATGAATTCCTTTTTTGAACAATTCCAAATACCTGTATTTGAATTTGGAAATTTTGGCTGGGTTCCTGGGGACCTGCTTTGGCCACAGTCCAGCGGCAGCACAGATATATTACGGATACATTGCACTAGCCCTTATAATAGCAATGATTGATGATGCGTTTGATACATTTTTGTATTTTTCATTTAATACTATACTATATTACTATCATACCTACCAAGTCTCACGCATCCGGCGTGAGCCTCATGCTCTTCGACCAAACATCAAGCTCTCAAGTCACTCACCAAAAATCTCACGCTTTTCTACTAATCTCAAGCTTTATCTTATTAAACCCAAACTTTTTATATCGAAATACACGAGACCTTTGCAATTCTAAAGTTTATCAGGCCTAGAATCATCGAAAATTCTATCGTTCCTATTCTAGCTACAATTGCATTGCGAAAAGGATCGATCAGTGACGTAAACAATAGAGTTACGCATGTGTGTTATCCAAGTAGGAAACTAACACTGATGGTGCTATACATTACGTCATTTTTATTTAAGCACTAGAGATCTATTTCAGAGTGCACAACAGAGCATCCAACATTTTTCGGGGCCCAAGGTGGGCCCTCGACCCAATTGGGTTTATTTCCTGTTAAGTCTCTAACTACCTCCTACTTGGCATGTATGTACTATTGGTAATATTACAGTTATTAAAAAATATAAGATTCTATTGATTACATTATATTAAATAGTTAAAATAGTGTACCCTGTCTTTAATACATAAATTAATTTGTAATGCAGAAATTAAAGATTTGAGTAACATTTCATTTTTCTTATCTGAATTACATAAATATTCTTCTTTGTTCATTCACTTATGTGATGAGGTTGGAAAACGGTTTCCTGTTGAGCATTGCCTTGATGAGTGCTGGGCCATACATTCTTGTGTCTGAAAATACAGTATAATAAACATAATAATACACTGTTATCTTTATTACCTTTACTTCAACTGTCAAGTCAACTTTTCCCTTGATGCCCCAGCGAGGTGAGCAGACATTTTCTTCAATATCTTTCAGGTCAGAAACACAGATGGAGCTTTTGGATGCCTTCATCTCATTAGGGCTGCAAAAATAAAAAAATATCAATATTTATCCATTGCTTGATAAAATATTCAAAAGGATATTTATATTAAAATAGAACAAATCTAGACAATACTTTTAAAATGGTTGAAAGCTTGGCTTAAATTAAGATGTTTACACAATGGTTTCAGAAAACATTTTCTTCTCACAATTTGACATCAACAGATGAGGACTTCTTTGGAATGGAGCAGTAGTATTTGTTAGCCCAAGCTGTGATTGGGCCGATGTATTCCTCCACCACGTCAAGTACATCCTGGTCACCGAGACCTATTTTAAACCTACAAACAAAATTAAGGTATTAGAAGATACAATACAAAATAGCACTTTTATTTATTACAGATGATGATTAATGATTAAAATTAATTAAAATAAAAACAAAATTAATGATATTAATGATATTGGTAAAGATGGTAGTAAAAACAGCAACAAAAAAAAACAATATTATTAGTAATAATGATGATAAAAACAACAGTAATGATAATGATGCTGTTCATGATGCAGCCTTATCATTCCATGCCTCCAAATGAACTCCAAATACAACTTACATATCGTTCATTATAGCCGGTGTAATCAAAACCTCCATTGCTGTAGCCTCCAGTAATTCTCTAGTGAATGTTCTCTTGCTTATAGCCTGTGACACAAAAAATAAATCTCCTAGTAGTTTATAAATGTTAGTTTCTGTATTTGTAACCTAAGTTGGCAGTTTGTAACCTATATTGAGAGTCTTTAACCTGGAATGACAGGTTAAAGACAGATAACATACATTGTGTTAGGGTTAAACAAAGACAGTGCAAGAACTAGTATCCATTCAGGGGACAAAATTAGCCAACAGAATATTTCTGACAGAGGCAAGTAAGGTCGCAAGGGCATTATCAGAATTTGGGGGAATGCCCTGGTGGTACCCAGATAATAAGAATTCTGATGCCAAGAGAAGCCTTGGACATTTTAAAGCTGTTATGAGAAAAGTTATAACAAATGTTTAAATAAAGGAAAACACATCATATATTTTTGGTCCAACTAGCATTGCAGTGCGCTATAATATGAAGATGTAGGGTGCCCTCTTGCAAAAATAATTACTTTTTAACACTGAAAACAAAGATCTTATAACTAAATTAATAGTGCATCTCAAGATTTCTAAAATTCTGTAACAACCATGGTAACAAGTCGGACAATCTCTCCCTCAAAACAAGTAGGCCTACATGTACTTCAATGCTTCTATTTGTTCTTTTTGTTATTATAAGATCTTTGACTGCTATTGACTGAACATAGATAGACAGTCTATAAGGAAATCATAAATTAAGATCAATAAGGGCATGGCAAGATAGAGTATTTTTATTATATACAGTATTAATAACTGAGCGTATCAATGCCCTGCTACCAACCTTTTCAAATACTTCATGAAGAATTGTTCCACATAACATAGCCTTATTGGAAGAATCTGCTCCCTAAATAAAAGACAAAATAAATAATGGATACTATACAGTTTAATAAATAATAACCACCTTCATTAAAATTATTAATAGTTTGCTTAATAAGAATAAATTATAATTACAGTATAGTTCAAGATTGTTGATAATTTACTGTTTCATCAGTCATTAAGTGTCTACTTCAGAAATCATGATCAAACTTAATACATAAGAATAACAATAATTAAAAACTACATAAATATATAATGCATATATAATAATCACAAAAAATCACAATATGCATATATATTAATAATTACAATACCTATAATTTTCGTGCTTTCTTTTCAATCACTGTATAAAAAAAATTAAAACCAAAGCTTACCTTAAACCTCTCACGTAAAACAGACCTGTAAATAACAAACAACAGTAACTTTAGAGATATTTATATTTTTAACTACCTATTTGCACTTTTACTGGCTATCAAATTATAACCAATTCTCACTTTCAGACAGCCTCAAAATCATAGTTATATCTTATTTCCCCATTGCAAATATCGATTTCTATCATTGTATGGATCATCATAGCTTTCTGATGCATCAGTACTAGGAGCTCAGCCACTGTAGGCAAATAACTTCCTTAATCTGTTCTATTACAAATCTGATACTATGTAACTAATCACTTAAAAATTAAAATTTAAATGATAATTAAAATTATACTTTATTTACTTTATTTGATAATGATACCATTAACTATTCATTGGCAACACGGAAAGGGAATATCTATTATTATTATTGTTGTTTACTGTTAACATCTTCCTTTACCTCACACGTAACATGTGTTACACTCTAATAAGCACCAAGTATTAAGCTTTTTAGGCAAAGATTTTGTTTTGGATGGACTAGTACCTTCTCTTACACCGTATGCTACCGGATATTGCAGTGCCTGTTAGCAGCATGTCAGGTTTAACTACAATGAAGTTATCATTTTGATTAATGACGATGTGATTGGACGCGTCAAACGTTCCATGGATAGCAACCAACATGCCCTCATGTAGCGGCGTTTGATTCCTGTTAACACATAATCAATATCAAGAAAAATCATTTAGGAAACAAAGCATTTATATATTTAATCATTTGTTGATTGTATTCACTTATTTATTTATTTTGATTTATGTATTAAATACACATTTGATATTTTTTGATAATTTTTATGCATTCTAATTTGACATTATGTTATTTCTTATTAGTTAGAACACCTTGTTGTACAAGCTATTTTGATTGGTTTTTTGGTTGTCCATTTCACCATTGTATAAGTATTTTATACATATATTTTAACAGTTTCATGATGATGAATGAATAAATTTGAATTTGAAACTTAATGAAGATTTATTAAATTCTATATAGATTATTCTTTGCGATCAACAAACGGTGTGGAAGCAGTTAATGTAAGTATTTGCAACTGCATCTCTCAACTTTGAGGTCATAAGTTCAATTGTCAATCTGCCTATTTTCTACTATCCTTGGGCAAGGAATTATATGCACATTTTCTCTCTAAGCGGGTACCAGGTAGGTTTAAATGCAATAATTAGCTGCAACATTATGGAAACCTCCCAGGAAAGATGATTATGCATTTCAACAGCATTTGTTCTGCTGCGCAGGGAAATAATATAAAGCATGTTGAGGTCTTGGTAATATGTACAAGATGCGAAATTATTATCTAAAATGTATATGCACACGCTGTCTGCTGAATGTCGATGGCATTCAAATGGATCATAATTAAAAACAATCCGTTGTGCGCACCTAGTTGTGTTCTCCATATAATCGAGTTGGCCGACAATCGTCGGGCACAGGGAGTGCCAAGCTTCTTAAGATGTTACTTTTACATATAGTAACAACTCCGGTTTTTTATATAATGCTTTATATACTTTATCCCAATAATATATATAATGTAATTAAAAAGAAATTTAACACATCCAACTAGAGTAGCATTCTACAGCAAGAATTCATTCTTACTATAAAAGAACTTTATATTATGTTTTTATTACTTACCACATTCCTGTCAGTCTACACTCTTTCAATGTATTATCTAATACAGACCTGACATGCACAACCTTTTCACTGTAATTAAATAAAAAGGAAAAACAAAGTTTAAATCCCAATAATATGTATTTCAGAAGGGAGTAAGGAAGGCCAAAGAGAAGAAACTGGAATTTTTGCTGTGGAAAAAGATGAGAAGATTGTGAATTGTGACAGTGAGGCATGACCATTTTTTCAGATGGGGAAGTATAATAATAATAATAAAGCTAAATTAGATATAGCACAAAAGTTAAAAGTTAAAATTTATAGTTAAGAGGGTGATAGTGGGAATTGGATATATTATATTCTTTATTTGGAAACGACACTTTTACAACAGTGACACTCGTAAGTAACGGTATGTCCAATGGAAAACAAAGCAAGCAAATCAAAACTTAACACATTAAGCAAATGAGAAAAAAAAAAAATTAAACAAAGAAAACTAAACAAGCTTAAAAAGATATTACAGATAAATTTAAGGATGAAGTACTTACAGTACTGTTAAAACAAAGACCAGCTCATCACAAGCAATACATGTTTAAGGAAGTACTTTTTGAGATGACCAAATAAAGATTAAAATATTGAAACACAATACTTGTTTCATACTCTCTTAAGCCAAAGTGTCCGGCAGAGTAGCTCTTCCTTCCCCATACCTCACCCACCAAGGTTTCTAGAAAGGTGGTAAAACTTACAAGTTTTCCTCATCAACATGCATGATGACATATCGGTTGAGGTCAGGGAATTCTGGCTGCCGATTGGCCTGAGTTGGCTGACTTTTGAAAGGAGAGAGGGCGCTAAAACTCTTGCTTAGATCAGTGCACATTGCTGATTCCTGCAATATTAAAACATACATATTTATTCATATACTTCTCAGTAATACAGGGGAACCTGCTCATTAACAACCAACAGTTCCACTTTCTATATGGGCCCAGATTTACTACATAATATAAATCTCATAAAACTGGTGCAACTCATTTGGCACCTGACAGAAAGAGATGGCGAGCACAACTTGGGGCTACCTGACCCAGAGAGAGAGTGGAGCCGCATACTTAAAGATACACATTCATATCAAACTAGAAGCAGTACGGCTGGATCTTTCAGTCTTCCTGAATGTAGAAGTGAATTAGGAAACTCAAGGTTTTGTTTTAGAGCTGTAAAATTTCGCTATTATCTTTCACATTTTCATATTTAATTATTAATTCCTGCTGCAGCCTTTACAAAGCTGAATGGTTGACTGAGAGGTATTGTAGCTGCTTCTTGTGCTGAAGACCACAGTTCGACTGAAATGAACCATAACGTCGGGGTGACCTCCTACTCTTGATGCAATGAGTTCTTTAAAGTGCACACAAGCCAGATGTATACACTGGACCTCCATTTAAATTCCTTATCCAAAAAGACTTGGTTCTACCAACCGAACCATGGATGAGGAGGGGCTGGAACCAGCGCCGATGTTAAGGCTATAGCTAGCGATGCCCCTGCCTTACCACTCGGCCAAAAAAATCATAGGCAGCTAATTTCTTAATATACTCTTACTTCTTCCTCTTCGTCTAACCAGCTGTTATCCATACTTTCCAAGAATGCCTTTGTAGCTGGACTTAACATCTGAATACAAATTCGAAAAACATATTAGCAATTCTATTTCTATACATCTAGTAAACTGAGTGTATACATTTTGTTAAATATAAAATCTGGTAGCAGAGCATTAAAAAAAATAATAATAATATAGTTATAATTAATAGCATGTGTATTATGTATTAATAAAAATTATAAAAATAGTAATAAGTAATGATGATGCTGATAATATTATCATGAGACACTACATGATTATAATAAAAATAACTGATATAAAAAACTTACATCTTGGGTTGTGTTCATCTTAATTGGTGTTCTCATATCATGTTTACGAAGTTCAGATAACAGACTAGTGGCGACATCAACACTTGGATCAACAAAATCACCATTAGTTCTGTCCTTTACAAAATATGCACAATAAAAGTCATCAGATTCATCTAAGTCATCTGTATTGCTGCCCTCAACTATACCTACATCACCTACATCAACATATTCACCATTACTGTCTTTTACAATATCTAGTTCATCAAAGTTGTCTGCATTGCTGCCTTTTGAAACACCTGTATCAACTGCATCACCATCTGCATTACTGTCTTCAGCAGCACCTAGGTTATTGAAGTCACCTGTATTGCTGCCCTCTACAATTTCTGAACTGTCATCATTCATTACATTGTGTTCTGGACAGATGCAAAAGGTGCCATTTTCTGACCTCTTGATATCAGGAAATAAAGATTTGACACAAGTTCCTGACAGATCATTAATAAGATTTTCCTTGGCAAATGGATTTCTATGGTTACTGGACGGTTTTCTTTTTTCATTTGGTGAGATTCCTCTGGTTGAAGATCTCTTTAAGTACGGTTTAAAAGGTTTGAATGAAGTGTCAAATTTCTTTTCCTGTACATCAGCTGTCTTTTGAAAACTCTTTCTCTTTGGAATCTTTGGTATCTTATTGCTCACCCGACTAGAGTGACGGTCTTGCATTTTAGAGCACTTTTGAAAAACTTCTTCAAGTCCAGCATTAAGGAAGTCATCATCACTAAGATTTGAATTCAATGCTACGCTTCCTTGATCATTCCTGCTATCAATTGCATCCTGATGCTTATCAAGGCCAACGTTTGAAAATAATCGTTTATTTTTAGATTTCTTATTCAAAATATCATGAACTGGTTGAAGCAAAACTGTTTCATTATCGTCAGTCATTTTTGGTGATACTGTCATTGTTTTTGTTCTTAATGCCTTTTTATAACCACGTGAAAGTTTCATACCTCTTTCATTGGTAGAGTTCCTGTTCGTTTCTTTGCTTATTAAGGACTTCACTTCATCAGGCTTCTCTTGAATAATTATCTTTAATTTGTTTTCCTTTTCAAGTTCAGAATTCAGATGGAACATTTCCTCTTTCACTTCAGTTTTCTTGTCTTTTTCTTGTCTAGCTTGGTGCCTTCTCGAGGCAAATCTTGAAGACTTCATTTGGCTTGTTGGCGTCTCTGGCACAATGTGTGTTGGGTAAAGAGAGCTTCCTTGACTGGTCTTTGGTGTCAATTCATCCACCATATCACCTGTATCTGGCGTACTTGGAATAACTGTAAAGTAATAATATAATTAAAAATTAATATATAATTATGAAATAATAATCAGGGAAAATATATAAAATTACAAAATTTCACAAGGGGAAGACCATAGAAATGAAATTTATGATAAGGATGAAGATTAAGATTATAATCATGATGATGATGCTACTACTGATAATAATGATTGTAATTCATATTTATAATAAACCTCTAATCAGAACAGGAATACATGCTTGCCCCACAAACATACTTGTTACTTACATTTATGCTATCATTTGGTGATAACTTACAGGTGTAGCAAGAATATCCAAGAAGTGAGCCTTAGCGAAATTGACATTGCAACAGTAACAGAAAATGGAATGGTTATGTTTACAGATTCACAAACAATTATATTTGTAGAAACTATTTCAATACCTGTACTTACCCATAATTTCTGAATTTTGTTGGCCATCTATGATGCTTTTTGAATCCACTACATCTTGTGGATTCTCTCCAGGAATTGGTGGTATATCATCTCCACATTTTGGAATATTTATCATCATACCGTTCGCTAAACTCTTCTCTGGGTTGTTTGTCTCTTGATGCTTTTTCATGCCTGAAACCATTTTTGATTGATCCCCCAGTTTCATACATTTAAAATCTGTATGTTAAAACATGGCGCAAAAAAATATAACTTTGTTACCCCACAGTTGTAAAATTGTTATTATTAATTTAAAAATCATTGCCCCAATCCAAAAAATAGCAACTCAACTCAAGCAAAAATAAATAGAACTGTCTCATTCTTCCCATCTATTATCCAATTTGAATCTTTTGAAATTATACAGTATTAACTTAATTCAAAAACCAATATTTGTATACTCCGCTATGCATTCGATCCTTTAAGTAACATTTTGATGCATAATTCTTCCTTTCACAATTACTGTACAGTGGAACCTCGATTTTACGTACGGTAAGGGACCGGAGGGCGTACAATAGAGGTTAAATTTGTGGTAACCTTAGACCTAATACGTACGTATCGCCCAATAAACGTATGTATGAACGAACGATGTTACCTAGGCTAGACCTAGCCTCTAGGCCTACGAATAAAACCATGTGTTTAGTGTTTTTATTCATCACTTTACAATGTCATAATAAAGTGTTCAAATAAAACCATGTGTCTAGTGTATTAATTTATCACTTTATATCTTTTATTTAACTAAAGAACATGAAAATATTGTAAGATTACCTATACGACAAAGGTGTAACATGGGAATTCCCCTTCATGCCTATATTCTAAACAACAGAGCTGTGGTGTTTTCTGGGTCTGTTGAGACAAACTAAAACCATGTGCGCGCTACACTGGGCCAGCCAACCAATTAGCGTTCGTGTACGTGAAACAGCAACCATGTGCTATGCATTGGACGAGCTAACCAATCAGCGTTCGTGTACGAAACTATGTCTACTCAGCTTCATGTAGAAAATTCGATCAGACATTTTTTTCCATGGTTTGCCTCCTGAAGCTAAAGGAGGAAAGCAATTATTTTGAGCACCATTGGTAGTTGTTCATGACGTCACTCAGTTCACATGGTTTCAGATTATAACAACCCGAAATCTGGAAAAACCTACTGTACCAATCTCAATAACAAATGCTGTTTGTCAGAGCTTTTTCTAATAAACTTAATAAACACATAATTTCAAATTATTAAAATTGCACTATTTTTTTTGGTCGTAATTTATTATGCCGTTTCCAATTGAGCTGCTTTTCTCCCTCCATTTCTAATTTTTTTGTCACTTGTAACCTTTCTTCTTCTTTTTTTTTTAATCACAATATGTTTGTGTTACTTTGTATATTCAACTTTGGAGTTTGTTTTACAATTGGAAGAAAATAAATAAAAAAAAAAAAAATTGAACTGGAGAAAATAACTAGACCCTAGCCTAGTTGATGTTACTTACCCTCCCTCCAAAAGGGTCAACATGGCCTGATGCTATGAAAACAGGTGAACCTGAATATATAACCCTACTGTTTAACGCACGATTATTTGCCTGAACATGCTGCAATTACCAAGCTGACTGGCTTTTTTGGCACAAATTGCTGGGGAATAGTTCAATATTTTTTTGTTGTTCATGGAATGCAATGACATTGATTTGGCGGTGGGTAAGGGTATTATTTCCGTCCAGGGGGAGTACAACTCTCATCCACTTCACACTACAGAAACTGGGGATAAGCTCCAGCCCTATGAGCCCCAGTGGCTCGGAAAGGATTTAAATTTAGTAAGGGTATTATTATTGCTAAAAAAATGTAAAATAAATAAGTAATATAATAAGTACATTTGATAAATGATAAATCTAAATAACCAGCAGACTCACCTCTATCCTCTACTTTTGATATATCTGCATTCTTCACTGCTACATTTTCATCTACTTTGGGCTTAATTTCCAAGTCACAAAACTTTTGTGTTGGCTATAAGAAAATAATACAAATAATAATAATAATATAAACCTACTTTATAAAAAAGTGTGTCATTAAATGTAATTAAACAGGTGTGCATTTGTGATTTTGACATATATCAAGTAATTATTATTTTCATTATAATTATTATTATTACAATGATCATCAAAACCACCACCATCAATACCAATGCATCGTTGCCACCTCCATCATTTAAACTACTACCAATTGAAACCAATTATCACACAGTAGTATGTACTACCTTTGCGAAAAACCTATCCAGGGACAATTGACCAGATTTGTTATTTTTGACCTGAAAATAAAGATAAAACACAGGTGTCAATACATATCATAAAAATTAATTATGTAGTCTGAACAATAACAGAAATGTTGATCCTTATTGGCATCACAAGAAATTATTTTTTAAATTTTTACTTAAGACCTTAGTTTTATGTTGAAAGGACAGCCAATTTATTTTGAGTGCAAAGATAATTGATGTATTTCACAGAAAATCTGTTTTGAAACTAACATTATTTTCACATGGTTTCTTTTCTTGTGAAGAACGCATACAAAATGCAATAATATTATAAGACTTATAGGTATTGTGTCAGCAAGGATCAAAAGTGTAGGTAAGCATCTAAGTGCTGGTTCTTTGACTGCATTTTGTTTTATTTCTTATTTTATAAATTTCAGTGGTATTTTATGGTTTAGTCATGCAAATTATGATTGTTTTTAAACTCTGTTGTTTTTCTTGTATCTTTAAGTTTCATTTCTTTATTATAATTACTTAGGCCTACATTATTTTATTTCTACAGTTTGCAAATGATGATACTTTTACTCACTGCAGACCTTGAAAGTTTCCCCATGGTTTGAAGAACCTACTGTACTTTATAATTTCTTGGTGAATCAATGATAATACTTCACTGAAATGAGTTAAAAAATTAATTAGTGAATTAAGAAATAATAAATAGTTATAACATTTAAAATCATGAACATGCTTGGCAAAAAAAATAAACAGATTTCTAGTAAAATAGGTGTGCAGAATTGTAATTACTGCAATACATTGTTTATTTAAGATTAGGTCAAAGCCTAACTTTCGAAAAAATATCTGTGCTGAAATCAGCCCTTATTTTCCGAAATGACAGATTTCTACACCAAATTTTTGCGTGGAGGATATATTCCCCACGCAGACAGCCTTTAGTATACAGTCTGGAATCAAATTGAATTAACATTCAATTACTTCAACGTTACTGCAACTGCATAGTCTAATCCAGGTTTGGATATTCCGTAGGCTAAGACTAGAGTGACTAGTAATATTACACAAACAATACAATAAAATTAACTAGTTTAATAATATACCATCATTTGACATTACTAGGCCTAGCCTAGAGGCCCCTAGCTAGGCCTACTACTACTAGCTACTACTAGTAGGGGCCTAGGCCTAACCTAGCCAAGAGGCTATTATGCCTAATTACTTATTTATGATGTAAAATCTTGTAATAAAACTAAAAAAAAGTATGAATATTAGTTTCGAAGTTTTGAAGTCTAGCCTAGCCTCTATTATTTCTTATCTTAGGCCTCGGCTAGTTCATCGGACTTAGGCCTATAACTAGGCCTACTCTAGGCCCTAGTAGGCTAGACTAGCTAGCTAGGCCCTAGGCTAGACTAGCTAGCTAGGCCTACCTACCAAGGCCTAGCCTGCCGAGCGAGGGTGGGCTCGCTTTCTTTTAGGCCAGCCTAACCAGGCTTAAACTAGATAGAGGCTTATTAGGGCCTCCTAACTAGGGCCCACCAGGCGTAGTAGGCACAGAAGCTTTTATTTTTAGTACACAGCGAAATGTCAGGAAATGGGCTTTTATACCTGCAAATGTTGGTATTCTGTTGTTATATTATCGTCATGTTATGAATATTTCGCGGGTGTTTTTGTTCACTAGTGTCAAATCCAGCCGCCAACTAATCAACACAACAACCAACGTAAATTAGGCTAATGAATTTATTTTCTCTACAACAATTGAGTGCGCTGTTTCAAATTACTGCTGTACAGAGCCGTAGAAATTGCAATCAAAGAAAGTAAAAAACAAAAAACAAAAAAAAAAAAACAAAAAAAAAAAAAAACAAAAAAAAAAAACAAAAAAAAAAAAAAAAAAAAAAAAAAAACAAAAAAAAAAAACCAGAATGTCATATTTCTATGCCATAGAATAAAATTAAATGAAATATCACTTTTTTGTCATCTCATATGATCAACACACTTAAGAAAATAAAGCAAACGACTAAAACCTTACCTAAAATTCATAGGCCTACTGTACAGTATTGCCAAAATTATTGTTTTAATATTAAAAATAAAATAATTTACTTACAAAGTAGGCCTATGCGACTGAAATTATTGTAGGCCTAATGTATTTCCCAAAATTCGTCTTGCTGCTGTACCTTAGCTGCACCGTCTGTCCGATAAGCTTAAAAAAGGAAAAAAGTTAAGGGGACACCTTCAGAACTAAAAAAAAGTGTCCCCTTAATAGAGGGCCTCCAGAATAAGAGTAACCCTATTCAGGGGACAAGTAACCAAAACGTTTTGTTGTATTTCAGCGGACGAAAATTCTGGTTTATTGCTCAAAAGGTAAATAAATTTGAATGATTTTTTCTTATTTTGAGATTGCTGTAGTTGTTGTGATACAATAAAAAACAAATTAAGTGTCCCCTCAACAGGGTAGGGCACAAAGTCTCCCCATCCCTTCCACTTAATGGGGGGGGGGGGGGGCAGGGTTGGCCGTGGTGTTCAACAAAAAGATACATTTCCTCTCCTTTTACGGAAAAGTGTCCCCTTAATAGGGATGTCCCCTGAATAAGGGTGTGAAAAGTGTCTGTCAATCAATGGACAGTTATAAGGCCTCGAGTACCTTTTTTTCTGCTGCATGCACACCTTTATATTCACTTTTAAGAATTTTTGTTGAAAAAGTCTGTACGGTATATTTTATCTGTTTCTGGTTGTACGTTAATAACTTATTTTACGCTTTAAACAGAGATATTAAATTTATTAATTGAAATTTTGTGAAGTTTTCTGAGTCTATTATAATTAGTAAACATTCAAGCGTTAAACAAACATACTTCCGGCTTTACAGCTTTACCAAAGATACTAGAAACACAAGATGGAGTTCTCCACACCTCCACAGAAAAAAAGTGTTCCACCGAAATGCATGGTGGGAATCAAAACAATGGGGCACCCCGTACGGCTGAACTTAAAAAAAACTTCTACTTCTACTTTCGTTACCAAGTCGTCGCGTATTTAATTGTCAATTCTCAATTAAAAAATTGTACACGTATGCCGAAATTTCGACATAATAAGTGGTAATTACGACATAAAAAATATATATTTCTGTGGCCCTAATAGGCTTTCGTACAAGTTGTACCCAGACAGTGACAACGGTGAATACATAACCTCCTTGGCGGAGGTAGAAATCGTTGCTATTATCCAAATAAAACACACAATTAAGCCCATGGAACAACAACAATATTATAGCGCAGAATCGTATGGCCGGACGCACTCTGGTGATAAAGTTTTCCTCCATTAGTGGAAAAAGAAGGGCGCCGTGTGCGTCTGGATATACTTAGCCAGAGCCATAGATAGAAAGAGTTGCGACATTGAGAATTTAGAAGCCATTTTGTTTCATACGCGATGCGCGTTCTGTGTCTAACGTGATGTGCGTTCCTGTGTATAACA